TGGTGCTACGTTTCCAACGGAACCAGCACCAGCTCCAGCCCCGACGACTCCTGTACCGCTGTTCGCGCCACCGGCGTTGTTAACACCACCGCCTCCTCCACCGCTACCGCTGCCACCGATTGAAGGACCTCCGCCACTTCCACTTCCGACTGTCCCCGCTGCTGCTGCTGAAGATGAAGCCGCACCGCCCTGCACATACGTCACTCCTGTTCCTATCGTTCTTGGAGATACAGGGCTGCTGCTCTTGATGTTGACATAACTCTGCGTCGGCCTGCAAACATTCGGAAACCTGAATTACGAGGTTAGACTGGGACAGTGGCATACAAATTAACAATTCATTTTGGAAGAAGATATATCAGTAGCGGCAAAATCTTCGTAATTTTCATATTTTGTTATATATATGCATATATATTCATATCATTCGAAATTTATTATAAAGGAGCAAAGTAATATATTAACAAATGTATTTGCACAGTGCTGCATTTATTTTGGTACTTGTATAGTACAATTAATTAAATTTCCTATTCCACAAGATTGTACAAGATTTTGTATATGTATAAAAGTTCTGAAATTACAAAGATCATTTTTACGATATTTTATACTCAACGCTGTTATTTACGATACATACACTTACATTTATGCTTTGCATTTCTACTGAGAAAATCGTATTAGACACTTCACGTCCCTACAATGGTAACGGTTTTCTCAGATTGTATTTCTTGATATATTATATACTACTGTAGTGTGCAATATAAGTAAGATATTCTTACGTATCGTACAAAACTCGTTAAACAAGCAGCCATTTTAGTATCATAATGAAAATACTTAAAAGCATACTTTTTTTTAAATACTTGTCAACATCGTGGAAACTGAGCTTATATTGTTATTAGCGATGGTTACTATAAAGAGAAACAACCTATGAAGTGCTTCCCGCTCATTGAAGAATATCTAAGATTTGTTCAATTTTTCTTTATGGGGAAGTAAGTCCTTTGTTTTTAATAAATTATACCGATGATATCAAATTACCTAGTAGACTTTTAAGCTAAATATACCTTTACATAAGAAGATCTCCTAACCAAATACGTTTATACACCAATAATTTTACCTATTATGTACAAACATAAATAAATCCTACTTATGTTCAAATGAACTATCTTTTACGAACAGGTTGTTATACATATACATGTTCTGTATACAATATGTACATATGTACATACATATACATATACATATACATATACATACATAAAAAAGAAGCGTGTTCCATATTAAAAGAAAAATAATATGAAAAAGTTACATATGTGTACAAAATTAGATTTATATGAAAAGATAAACTGTAAGAAATAAATGCATATAAAAATTGACGAATGACCATCAACTAACCAATCGCGTCACGCGGTAAAAATATGCTTCACGTGAAATCAACCATTGGCTATACATATGTATGGCAGAATAGTAGATACACGACCTTTCGACGCTAGTTTGTCACATGTGGCAAAATATACCGCGCATGCGCCATAGTGTATAACGATATGCGATGTCGCAGTATTCCACAGATCATGATTCCGCGTGCCGGTGCATCGGTACCTATTCTCTGTAGAATGACTGCGCATGCGTTGAACATCACAAAGGGTGAATGTGCCTGTCTGCTTTCGTAAGGCGACGTTGCCATATCGTTGAATACATTCGAGGCTTGCCAAACGTTCTTAGAGTTATTCGTTGGTGGATAATAGTGAACGATCAACCGATGTAGTCTGATATAGCGTTTATAAAGATTTCTTTTCCGAAATTATCTAATATATTTCATACGTTATTGAATATATGATTTTTTTAATCTTTTTCTGAGAACAGAAGATAAACTAATACATTCTCAAAAAACGTAAAAGTAGTTGTTACACATAATTGTAATACGAAATAAAATTATGTGTAACACACATGTATTCAATAATATATTTGAAAATTACTAAATTAAATTCTTCTATAAATTGATATCTATTATTTGGCATTAACGTTTTGTATACTGTAAACAAAATTGATTATATTTTTTGAAAGAGTATAGTCTGTGCCGCAGCAACTAAATGAATATTTCAAATCATTCGGAATTATAGTTTAGTCTATATATAGTCTTAGCCTAGCTCACATCCAAGAAATATGCATATATTTTCAGCTATTAACAACGACACCCTCTCTTAACTATTTCTATTTGAAAATTTTGTAAACACATATTAATGATATTAAATCTTTTTAGGCAAATTACGAAACTATTCACAACATAACGATTCACAAAAAAAGAACTATGTATTTTTGAATTATCATAAACAATAGCATATACAGTAATGTCAAACAAATAATTTCAATAATTATTATCCAGTTAGTAGAAGAAAAATTAAATTGCAATGATTGTAAATTAAATTAATGAAAAGACAAATTATAATGTTAAGAAACAATTAACGCTATAAAAACAACTATTATCCACAATATTAGCCCACAGTTATGCACGATATATTTTTCATATTAATGAATCATTCGATCTTTCTTAATTGCTATTTTTTTCTTATATACGAATTTATAATCGCAAATGAATGACGACTTTATGGATTTTCCTAGACTATGAGTTCCCGATGATGTAACGGTCACTGACCCCCTCCTCCCACTTCTAAAATCTTCTCCCTCCCGTGTATCACCTACTCTTTTTCCCTTTTATGAATGATGCGCGTGCGATAGAATGTTATGTACGTACATACATAGGTCACGGAGAGAACGATAACATGATATGCACACATAAGTTGTACATATGAACCTATACAGGTTCAATGATGATGAATTTAATACTTAGGTGAGAAATAAAATACCACCTTTGGGACAAATAACACTGTAATAGATAAGACGTATAAAATTAACTGCTGTCTTCTGTGAATCATTTTCAAATCAATCGTATTTTCCAGGCAATTTCTTAAATTTGAAGGACAGTAACAAAATTAATCTAGAATTTGTATATCTTACAGTTGACCAGATGATAAAAATATATGATGATATTTTTCATATCACTGTTTACATTAGAAATAATAGGGATTTTAAAATAATTAAAGAGAAGAAAGACCATAACATGCAGATAAGAAAAGTAATATGATAGGTTAGGGTATAAAACATGGCGGGTACATCTAAAATATGAAAACAACATAAAAAGCGTCTAAGTACGTATCATATAGCGCCACATGCATCATGTCAAAACGAAGCAGAAATTATCACTAGACTATTATCACTATTTATCAATAACACATATTCTATATTACATAAAGTTATATCATAAAATACCTATATAAATAAAAGAAATGCAAAGTTGCACCTGCGATAACAAATGTTTTCAATGTATACATATATCTTATGAATTTCATCGTAATTGTATTACCATCGCAAATAATATACTCAAGACAACAACGATAAAACGATAAAAAGTTATGATTAATTAATTTTTCCACAAAGTCTAGAAATCTTTGAATTTTTAAATAAATATCTATTTTTAAATATTATATCCATAATTTTCTACATAACCCAATTTTATTAAAGAATTAAGTGTTATATTAAGAAATGTATTCTATTTTTGTTTTCGTCTGAAAGAGAATTGCAGGAAATAGAAATCTACGTAGCCTTGAGCCCCTTCCTTCAATTCTACTTTTCGTTCACGCCTCCGTTAATGTCTCTGATTCTTTCCTCACTTATTTCCTCTTGAAAATATGTCTCAGGTATTTTAATGTAAATTTCTTAGTCAGCGAAATATTCATAAAGTTTGTACAAATATTTATAAGAATGCTATATAACCGGCATAATATTTTGTTAATAAAATTGATAATGTCTTAAGCTTTGACATTATAAATTTATATATACGTAATTAGATGCAACACGTTAATTTTATTTTCCTTTGCTTTTTTTTACCTATTCACAGGTAAAAAAAGTGCATTTCCGCTATCACCGCCATCTTTTATTCCCCGTCATGCGACCTACTGTTAGCTTTCTCTTTCCCGTTGAACAAATTCCTACATCTATTACCATTTTCCACCAATTCAAATACAAGTGAACAATAAATTATTAGAAAACAGACCGAAATTTTTAACTTGCCAATTTATTTAGGCTATCTATTTAATTAATAATCTCGTAGTTTTTCAATGTAATTCATTATGTGTAAAATAAAGATTCTAAAATCAAATATTGAAATCAAACATCATTTTAAAAACGATTGTAATAAAGCAACATTTTTATTTTATTGTATTTCTATTTCTTACACAAGTTTTGTCTATAAGAAACCAGATTCGTAACTCGTAATGTAACCCATAGTATGTGTAAATGTGTAAATGTGCGTAACATATACATGTACTGCGTTCCTTCGTATTGTTTGGTTCATTTGCACAATCCTCAGACCGTACCTAACCTAACTGATTTTCCCGCGTTTTCCATATTATTTATTTTGTTCTTTATGTACGTTACTAACCATTCTATGAGAAATTTCTGATACGCGAATTACTGTTGATTAATTAAATTTTGTATGCTAATAGTAAAACTGTAATTACTATGCTAATAGTAAACACTGTAATAGGATAACATCATAGGATTTGATATTTATGGCAGAGCAATATCACGAGTCACTTAATAAACAAAACAATTTACAATGATTTTCTATATAAAACTCATGATATAGACATTGGGGAAATCACTCATATGACTGTAACTGATGCCATTGTTAGAAACGTACTATACTAATACGAGAATGGGCTATAATGTAATGATATTGTTCATGCAAGGAATAACGACTAGAAGCAACAGAAATAACTGTGTGGACTTACTTCATCATGCAAACGGACAATCTTGAGTTTCAAAGAAATCTTTCCTTCCCACGTACATTCTCCATTCACACATCTGGTACATTGCGTTCCCAAAAATTGCGGCTTTATTTTGATAATTTCAGTAAAATACACTATACCATCGTCCATATATATATTTCAGTAAACTACAATCGTAAATGTAAACCTTGCAAGGTTAAAAATCAACGTTGCACGTTGACGTTTGAGGTTAGAATCGACAGGTAGCAGTAGTGGTAAAATTGGGAGAACGCATGCGCAGTACACCGAATGTATGTATGTTACGCATCCAACTTCAATGTTCTATCTGCCGCGTATTTCAAGTTTCAATATTTGAATTTATACAATACAGAATCCATTGCAATATATATTAATAAATATAACTAAACTTTTAAACAATAACGGCAATATAATAATAAAACATATAAAAATGAAATAACTGTGATAATAGTTACACTATATTATTTCCAAATTTCTTCTAACAAAAGAAAAATTAAAAAAGAAAAATTTTTTCTGATATCCTACTATTTAAATTTAATTATAAACAATTACTCAATAATTAGAATCCAACATTATAAACATATATCTCATATAAGGTGGCATAAATAATAGAGAAAGCCATAGTAGCATATATTATTATCGTAATTAATATAAGCTATATATATAAATATGAACATTTACTTTAACATCAACGCCCACTCAATGTGCTATCTATATTTAATATTTTTATCTCTATAAAATTTCAATAAATTACACATCATATGATATGATAATATATCGATGCATTTAGGTCCAATTTTGTCCAATCATTGTACCAATATATCATACTGTCATACTTAAGGCGAAATGATCAATGAAAATAACTGAAAGACAACAAAAACAATAATTATTCTTTCACGTAGTGTATTCCTTTACGATTGCATTATAGATGCGTTTCATCAAACGATGTGTTAAGTCGTTTTTCGCGCAGAATTAAGCGCATGCGCATAACTTTTAATTATATTGTACACACTAGACGTGAACAATATGGTGTGCAATGGAACTGCGATAGCAATACAACATAGGCAAGAAAATAACTTACCTATGTAGCTGTACCGGAGTAGATCTCGCGGGTAAATGCTGGTTATGCGAGACCGGTGGTTGTGTCTGACCTCTGCCAGGGGTCGACGTTACGCCGACCAGTGAGTGGCCATGGGGTCCGTGAGGATGACCGTGGGGGTGGGCATGTGGGTGTGGAGGATGAGAGTGGGGGTGAGGATGATGATGGTGATGCAAATCGGCCCCCACTGGACCCACCGGGCCCACCGGACCCCCCACCCCCAGTCCGCTCACTACTTGGACTTGCTTGCTCACTGTCTCCATCACCCCTAGCGCATTGTGTACTGGAAAAAATCCATAAAAATTAATTAGAAACATGGCCTTCGTTCTTTATCTTTTTTACAATTCCTCCTTTTTATATTTGTATATATAAATTAGTTATTTATTATTGTTCATATCGGTTGTTAAAGACTTATCAATAGTTTCATACTCGTGTTTGACTATTGATTACTTATTTATCTTGTTAATAAATTTATCAATATATATTTTTAATATATTATAATATATATTATTATTATATATTATATTTTATATTATTATATACTGTATACAGTTATCTTTATAAGAAAGGATTCATAAATTGGAAGCAAACATAGATTACGTGACGTTAATATAAATCGTATAATTTATTACATTTATCTTTCTTTCCCTCCTTTTTACCCTTCCTTTCCTTCTTCTCCTTTCCTTTCATTCGTTTCCTAATATGTATATTTCAATTTTACCCGACAGTATCAATAATATTCCCTATTTTGTCAACTGCAATTAGATAACAACATTTCGATCAATAATTTTAGAAGTTCGTCAGAGACGCGCAATATCACTAAATGTTATCGGTCTCAAAACATCTGCGAAACCTCCTCTTTTCATCATATTGATATATATGCAGGCAAAAATACTTAAGATATGTGTTATTCAAGTTATACTTATTATAGAATTTAAGTTGTTAAATCTGAGCTATAAAATATTAATTGTATTTTAATGTAAAAGATTTATTATATATTCCATATTTTGCGACAAACTTTTGTGATATTATATTAACTATTATAATAACAAAAATTTTTCAATTTAGTAATAAGATTAATAATGTTGCTGTGATTTCCAAAAGATTAAATTTAGAATATGTCACGATACACTTTCTTTACTTTTTAATTTGTGATGTGCAGTTGGTAAAATACGGAGATCAGACAAAAAGGAAGGTCATGAGAATGCTACACATTAGAAAGTATGACAGTGCACATCAAGCAAGACACAATGCCATTATCGGGTTTACGATGGGAGCGTACAGCTCACCGATATTTTTCAGATTTTTACACCGATGAATTATATGCCCACTATATGTGTATGTTACATGCGTAGGTTGCTTTTTTAGAAATAAGTATTTTAATTTAATAACTTTTCTAAACAAACTACAAATATATTCCTGTGATTAACTTTTATTTACGATGTTCAATATTCATTTTTAGTTACGTTTATTACAGACATTTGCTATAAATTTTGCTATTCTTATGATATCTAGTATCTAAAGACAATACTAAGATATAATCATTAAAATATATAATCATAATCACAACTAGAATACCCATACTCCATAGTAGATATAAGGAATTAGTCAGTTTTGTTCTCAGAAACATAATTTTTAATATAACATAATCGTTAACGCGATTGAGCAAAACTTTTATAATTCTTGCTTTCTGTATTCTTCTAATAAATTAAAAAAATAATTCATTAATATATTGATAACAATAAAAACAATACATATATATAATCAATGTACGTGTGGAATAAATTAATTGAAATGATTAATTACGATTATTTCCGAGCTAAGTATTGACTATTAATATTTATTGCGAAACAGTAAGCCTGATTATGTAATAGTTCTTTCGTTCATTACTTTTTAATCCAATAATTAATATTACCTTTCATCATTATCTGCTATCTGTACTCTTTAATTAATAACGTTTTCGTTAAATTCATACGTGAATTATAAATAATAAATTAACTACATTGCACAATTTTTCCTTTCCAGAATTATTACAAATTACTTTGCATTGTTTTCTTATTTTCCTTCTTCATTGCCTTTTCCTTATATACTTTGAATACATTTTATAATATAATGCCACGAAACTCGTACATGTGCATTACATAAAATTATTAACTATTGTAAAATACTATACTTTAACTACTTACACTTTAGAAATATGTAGCTTTTGCAAAATTTGATTTTAAAGTAAATGAATGCAAAGTATAACATTACTGATCGACTAAGTATGTATAAGTCACGTTAAAGATAGTTAACAAGTAATAAATAATTGATAGGTTGATACCGAATATCTCAGTCGAAATTCATACATTTGTACGTGAAATAAATGGAAATCGACATTAACGCGTGATCGTGGTGCGCCATCCTTAAAAAGAAGGAAAAAGTTCACAAGGACGTCAACGGCTAGCATCATCGAAGTAACGGTACTGTAATGACACTCAAAGAGAACCGAAAGCTGTATATAGAAACGGTTTGGAGGAGTATGTATAAGCCAAGTAATAATTGGAGAACTATATATGAATATCAGTAAGCAATAATTTTTCTTTTATTTTCCCAATGATAGTCTTTCATTAAAAATATTATTAATAAAAGTTATAATTGAGATTGTTAAAAAATGCAAGATCAAAAATTTGGAATTTATAAGAATTTTCAAAATTCAATGTCTCCGTCGATATTAATAATTAACAAAGACATTTTTTATACTATTGAATAAAAGAATTAAAAACTTGATATACAGTATTCTGATTTTAAAGAATTTATTTTACAAGCATGTATATTCTTTAAAAATGTGTAATATATCATTTTATTTTACTCTAGACTCTAGATGAATACATATATATATTTCTCGGTAGTGAGATTACCACAATGAGATTTCTAATTATACCTCACGAAAGATATCAGACAAGCAAGAATAGCAATGAAATAATTCGGAGAATTGCATACAGCTGTATTCCCACCAATTTACTATGTCAATTCTTGTAAATATAGTTTCCTACGAAAGCTACATCCTCGTTTCTGGATTTTTGCACAAACACGTAAATTGACTAAAAAGTTTGCAATAATTAGTGATAGTGATCCTTAGTCTATTTTATTTATTAAGCGTTACGATCACTAGTATCATATTGCAATGTTGTAAGAATTTGTATCATAGCTATGTCGAAAGATATAAATAAATGACGAGAATGATCGTGATAAAATTGTTTGTAAAGAAGTTGTAAATAAAAATAATCACGACCTCCTCATAGCCACCTCAGGGAACATCGTAATCCCTAGAAAGGTGATTCTTGAACTATAAATTAAGAGTTAAGGATCTAGGTTAGGTATTCTATAAATATTGTATCAATCAGAGATAAGTTAGAAGCTACATCTACTTTCTTAAACTACAGTTTTTTGGCTAACATAAAATCTGTAATATTATTTAGCAAAAATAGAACTTTGGAGAAATCATAAATGTTTATGTTAAAGGAATATCGAATGTAAATATATTTTACGAAGTGTATTATTCGTGTTCTAGTGTTAAAAATCTTGTAAAACTTCTCGTCGATACTGTAGATGAAATAACCTTTATATGAATATATGATCATAATAAAAGGATTCAAGATTGTCTTCGTGAATGAACGTGTTAAGTAACATTTTATAATTTTTAAGTTACTACAACTTTTAATGGCCTAAAAAACCATTCAATACATAAAGTCAAGATATACTTCACTTATATTTATTGATAAACTCAAACACTTGTCAAAGTAACTAGCTTTTTTCTTCTTCTCTGACCTCCGCACATAAGACTATTACATATTAACTATTATTTTACTTAACCATTAATAAAAGTAACACAACACTTGATACATAGAAAAATATAACGTTATGCTTAATTTTTGCAAGTTAATCCATTGTTATGCAATAAAAAAGTATTTAAAATATACCACAAAATTACCAATACGAGATGGAACTATCTAAAAAAAAAAAAAAAAAAAAAAAAAAAAAAAAAAAAAA